AACTGTTTTAATTCAACAATTAACTCATAAGCAATTCAACTGTGAGCAATTTAACGATTAAAGGAACGCTTTTAGTTTCCCTAGATAAAATTTTTGAGTTTGAGTTTGGTCAGAGGGCGCTGTTACCAGTCAAAAATGTTTGAGTATAGTGCCCGATCAGACACTATACCCTGGAAATTACGCACGCACGATGTCTCGACGCGCGTCTAGTTCACGCTGACGCAAGTTTCATTCACTAGCATAAATTAGTGAATCACACGTGACCGCATTTCAGCCAACCAGGATAAAGAACAAGCAAGAGGTGTGTTATAATATACAAATATTGACTGCTTCGTGTGGTGTAGTTAAACTAGCTTTCATGATCCATGAAGCTCGCCGAGGGAAAATAGAAGCCCTCTGTGGATCACCGAGGGAGGCTAGTTGTACTACACCACGAGATAAAGCAGTCAATATTTGTTTTATAACACCTTTCCCACAGATTCTCCTTGAATTTAAGCGATAACTGATTAATGTAAATACAATTAAAATGTACTTCTATTTGAATACAAAATTAGTTGAAACTTTAATAGCACTTTCCAAATACCTCTGTAGAGCAAACACTGGGGAATGTGCAATGGGCATGCTCATGCCATATGCATCTGCACACTCTAATGGTTGCGTATCGTACTTTGGTTGCTACAGCTATAGTGCTTTGATTGCTATGGATACAGTAGTGTTGGCCATGCACAGCAAGATAGCAAAAATAGCAGATGCCATAGGCATTGTTCTTCCAATTTTTATGGAGGTATTATCTTTAAATCTATAGTTCCTGAATAGGCCTATTGGTTTTCAGGGTCTGCCAAATAAGAGTCTCTGAATGGTCTGATGACAAGCATTGCCCAGCAATAAATACTCACATTGCCTTGGATCAGTGGCCAATGTTTATAACCATGCACTGTATAATCTTGACAGCTGAACGCTAGCCATTTTCCCCCAGTTAATTGTTAATTTTAATCTTCAAGTCTTGCATTAAAATGCTCAGATTTCCTGCAATTCCATTTCTTACTTGTAAATTTCCAGACACCACCGCGCCAGTCCTCAGAGACTGTCCGTCTAACCAGAGCATTACCACTGACGCCAACTCCAATACTGGATCCGCCTCCTGGACCCCTCCCACCGTGGACAGCACTCCAACGGACCCTGTCAATCTAGTACCAAGCCATCAGCCGGGGGCAGCGTTTCCTGTGGGAACCAACCCAGTCACGTACACAGCTACAGATGCTAGTGGCAATCAAGTGGTCTGTAAATTCTGGATAATTGTGAGAGGTAGGCACCGAGATGAGTTCCAGTCACGCGAATGTGTTTGTGTTCATTAGCTAGGCCCTGTGAATATGCTTACCCCAAATGAGACGATAATGCCAATGAAAAACTGTTGTCAGAATGCCGGCGTCCTAGGATGCCAATTTAACAAGTGTCACTGGTTGGAAAGCGGCTTTTACAATCCTCAAACAATTAATTGTGACTGAAAGCGAGATGTTACCAGTAATATATGAAATAGCTGCAGATGTACAAAACGGAAAAACTTCAGCTCTGACAAGACCATTACGTTCAGGTCGCGTGTCAGCTTCTTTGGAAAACATGGCGTATGACTTGGGAAGACCATTAGGCTTGGTTGCTAATGTTCGCCAAAGTTAGGGGCAATCAGTCGGTCCCATTTGCACACATTTTGCCAACAATGGCAAATGGTGTTATTGTTCACAATGGCAGAATGCACCCTAACGGTTTATATTTAGGTTCAGCAATTTCATATGCTGTCCAGTTGATATGTTTCTACTAGAGCTTTTCCTGTACGTCAAAGTTGATAATATATGACATGCATGCCATTCGTGGTCTAGCTGTAAGAGCATAGGATTCATGATCGTGAGATTGTGGGTTCGAGTCCTGCCGTGGCCATGCGTGTTGTGCCCTTGAGTAAGGCGCTTTACCTCAATTACTCCTCTCAACCCAGGTGTTAAATGGGTACCGGCATTATTCAATGCTGGGAAGGTAACAGACTCACTGTGGAGGAGGTGTGGCGATCCCCTTCAAAGCAGCATTTCATGGACTCACTGGCCCAATCACTTCAAAAGAGAGATGGGCACTCAGTTCCTGTGAAAACAGGTTTGTCCCCTTTACCTTTTTTATGCAATTCATAAATCATAAGTCCATTTTTTTGGGGATAATCCACAGATAACCAGCTGCCTACGATCACATGTCCAGTTGACATCACTCGAGAGGTTGCCTCGGGTATTCCATCGGACACGGTATCCTGGGATCCGCCGGTGGCTAACGACAATAACGGCGTACCCACCGTACAGTGTGCACCGCCGTCGGGAACAGCCTTTGATGTGGGCATGGATCACATTGTGACTTGCACTGCAACAGACAGCTCTGGCAATATTGCACAGTGTACCATTACTGTTAGCATTGTTGGTAAGTAAAAACTACTACTAAAATTGCAAAACACTGCTGTATGTATGCAAAGCTGAAAGGTGCACATTCGTCCAGATTTCACAAAAAAATCCATTTTGATTGTTTACTCACAATTTTGTTGAAGATCTGGGTTACAGTAAATCCATAGATAATGTCTAACATTTATGTTGAAAATGTTGGAAAACCTTATTTGTTTACATGACGTAGTATATATGTGTTTTAAAGCATCAAATGTTAAGCCAATTTAAAAAAAAAGACTGGCACAGATAAAACACACCTTGGAAATTCCCAGTTTTTGAGTAAAATCTTATCTATTTCATGAAAAAGTTGTGCAGCCTTGTGGAGACTTTGACAATATTTTGTTCCCTATTGTACACACGTCTCCACAAGGTAGCGAATTATGAAACATTGAAACATAGAACACACACTGGCTTGCACGTGTTTGAAGAATATTTTCAAAAGAAACGTGACAGAAATGAAGACTAGCACTCAAACGGCTCGATTTTGAGGCCCAAGTTTTTGTTCTTGCATGGCAATTACACAAAAACTTGCTAAGTTACAGTTGCATAAATACCTTTTGAACTACAATCGTTTCGTAGTAAATGCATTTTTCCAGCTCAGTGGGCGCTTTCTCTCAAAAATCTCCTTTATTAGGTTGTGACAAAATTGCCCGGTCTTCTTTTTATTATAAGATGTTAATGTGAGATGGATTGTTATTTTAAGATGTTAACATGAGATGGATTGTTATTTCAAGATGATAATATGTTATTGATTGTTTTTTTTAAAGATGTTAATGTGAGATTGATTGTTATTTTAAGATGTTAATGTGAGATAAGTTGTTGTTTTAAGATGTTAACATGAGATCTTTTGTTATTTTAAGATGTTAATATGAGATTGATTGTTATTTAAAGGTGTTAACGTGAGATTGATATTATGTTAAGATGTTAACATGAGATTGATTGTTATTTGAAGATGTTAACATGAGATGAATTGTAACTCACCTAGATGCAGGGAATGCCATCCTGATAACCTGCCCCGACGCCATTAGCATTAACACTGCTACTGGACAACCCAACAACGTCGCCAATTGGGATGATCCTACAACTAGTAGTTCCTCCCCGGCCAGCATCACGCTGACTCCCACAATCCAGTCAGGAGCCGCATTTGGCGTAGGTGTTAACACGGTCATGTACACAGCAAGTGACGGCATGGGAAATACGGCCACCTGTTCTTTCACTGTCACGGTCTCAGGTAAGCTAGTTGAAGTGTTTGTGCATGGCAAGTTACTCAGAAGTAACTCTGATTCTATTACAGACTTCCAGTTACAAAAATGAGCTATGTAAAGGTTAGGGTTTGGTAGGCACATTTGCGAATGCTCTCACTTAAGGAACACAATTTAACGAAGTCAGTTTGTATTTCAATTGGTTAGTGTCACTTTTGCTCTGTCTGCCTTCAGAAGAAGGAATCATTGCAAAGATACCAGGTAGGAGAAACCCATTGCAGCGCGTCCCAAATACCCGCCACATTTTTTTTGTGAGGCTCTAGTGTCCTTGTGGAAACATGTACTGCCACTATTTTTATACGATTTTAAAGCTTAGAATCTTAACTTTATCCCTGATAAGTATTGGTTTGATTTTCAAAAGGGTTTTGAAATTATTCGTGCTCAAATAAAGGCATGTCAAACAAAAACACAACCGATTTCAAGGAAAATCAATCATACTCATTTTTTTTAACATGGAAATGACAATCTTGTTGCCTTGTACTTCCTGTGTTTCCTATTCTTTTCGATCCACATAGACTACAGCTTAAATAAATTCACAATATTGTTCTTCGTTTTAAGTTTATTCTGAGTCTCTTTTGAAATTCACGTGCAAGTATAGATATATCAAAAAGCATGCTTAAAGTGTGACTAGAGTTGGCATCTAATGTACTGCATCATCGATTTTCCTTGAAATCGGTTGAGTTTTCTTTCGACATTCCTTTATTTGAACATGCCTCTATACTCGCCTGGGATAAAGTTCAGATTCCAAGCTTTCAAATGATATAAAAATAATGGCGGTACATGTTTCCGCGCCAACGCTAGAGCCTCACAAAAAAAGTTGCGGGTATTTTGGGACGTGTTGTAGTTTCTGTAATGCTCCAGACCATCCTGCCTGTTACTGCATTTACGCTCCATGCATGAACAAGAGAGGACGCTTTTTACCACTGCATACTGGTTCGCGCGTATAGCGCAAAGTACGCACAGCGTATTTTATTCTGAATGTGCACAAAGCCATAGCGTCTTCTCTTGAGCATGAACGCCTTCGGCAATGCATTTGAACGTCTCTCCCAGTGGTCTCCCCAACTCTTCCTTTCTTACCGTTGAGGGGGTACTTTTGCATGGAGCTGATACTGCCTCGTACTGCCCACAGATTCGTCAGGAAATGAATACTATGTAATACAAAGTAATGCATATGTTACTGGGTTAACTAACTTCACATACACAGAAAAACACTTTTGATTCTCACTCAAGTAATCCTCTTCATTCTCGATCCTCTCCTTTCCCCTAGACATGGAGCCTCCAGTATTCCAAACCTGTCCCGATGACATCATCGGCATCCCTACCGATGCCATCACTTGGACCACACCCACTGTGACAGACAACACCGTTATCTTTACATTGATCGCCTCTAGATCCCCGGGTATGTTCAGCCTGGGAGTGCATCATGTGACATACACGGCGACTGATGACCATAACAACCAGCAAACATGCACATTCACTATTACCATTGAAGGTGAGGACAAGATAATAAAAGTGTACTAATTTACTGGTTTAATTTTTTTTTTTTTAATTTCTGCTTTAGTTTAGACCCTACTCAAAAGAACATGAAGTTAGTAGATAACTAGTCCGAAAATTTGGGACTCTCAATACTGTGTATGAGAGTCCCAAAACTTATTGGTATCCATATCGTGCAAAAGTTTGTGCTGCATAATAAAACCAGTGTGAATCAAATTAGCAAGCATACTCACTACAGTTTCTTCAATAATCCCCGAAACTTCTGCCTCGCAAAGTTGCTGTTGTGAGTATTGCATCACCAAAAATTCAGCTTTTAATTCTAATTTTGCAGGGAGTTATCGAAATCCAAACGCAAAACATAACGTTGATGTGTACTGCAATGCATTGTGCAAAAAACTCCTCAGCTAAAACATTTTCATCGTGTAGATAAAACAGCGCCCTCTTGTTGATCTGAGTGAATGCAGAATGCTTCATTTTTTAACAGAGGGCGCTATGTTCATTTGGCCATCGATTAAAAAACAAGTAAGCTGCAAGGCTCTTCCTACACCTACCCAGAATACCTTGGGAATCACACAACCATTTCTAGAGCATGGAGAATGACGTGGATGGTTTTTGAACTGCCAAAAACTTGCCTTAAAATTGGATTTAAGGTCTCAAATTCCGCAGGTGACATGCTTGCAACTATAGCATTTTGATGTATGTGTTGTGTGGGCATTAATTAGCCGAATGGTGAGTAAAAAAACGTCAGTAGTAATTTTGCACGTTTTTATGCACTCACGGTCCCAGTCTGGTAGATAACCACAGCTAAAAAAAAAAAAAAATTATGAGCAGGGGGGCATGTTAAAAGATTGGCTGGATGGGGCTAACAGCAGAAGCAGGTAGTGAGCTCCGTCTCATGTCCGGCAAGACGTCAAAACCTTCAGTTATGAAAGGTTACATCGCAGTGATTTAATTTATTTCTCAGACAGTAAGGCCAGCCATCAGATAACAGACCGTTCGGGTACCGGGCCCGGTAAGCCAATCCCTTTCACCCCGATCGGTATGAAGCCAGAAGCCACCCTGTTACTGAAGCCAGAAGCCCTGATCGGTCTGAACTGGTGACTGGGGGTTTGATCAATGGGCAAAATAGATTGAAGTCGAGCCATTGGAGGAGGATTATTCGGCCCACTCAGAGTCATTGTTGCGTGCTGGAGGATTAGTGTGTCACAAATTGGTTCCTTTGTGATGAGCCAGAGTGTGCTGCAGAAGCCTGGTGTAGTTAATCTGGGCCCAATCGGTTCCATCCAAGGTCCCAGTCCCTTTGACATACTGGGCGGGCTCAACCCCGAACGGTCTGGGGAGGGACTCTAATTTGAGGGCTGGCCTAAGTTACAACCACTTATCTTTTTGAGTTGGTGGCACGATATGCACGATATGCTGTTTTTAACCCCTCATGACGTATATCATAGCACCCTCGACTTTGACTTGGGTGCTATGCCCCCCTCCGGTGTTAAAAGCGTCGTCCCACATCAATGTCAACAATGTTAAATGTTTTCATATTCTGATACCCTTTAACAGAGAACAACAAGCCCATGGTGTCCAACTGCCCGGTCATGTTGACCCGTTATATACCCGAGGGTGAGAGTCAGGTAGAAGTGACATGGACCGAACCCACAGCTACCGACCAGGATGGCATCGCTAGGATAGAGCAGAACTTCTACCCCGGACAGAACTTCACCCTGGGAGCGTATCAGGTCACCTACATGTTCATTGATAACGCAGGATTTGCAGCCACGTGCCAGTTTGTTCTGAATGTTGAACGTAAGTATAGTACAGCATTTTCCCCCCAATTTTCACTCGGGATGTATCAAATCAAATCACAATTATTTTCCTCTTTGTGACAGAAATGAAAAAATAATATAAGTATTGAAACAAAATATAAAGGCTACTAGAGTTGGCAAAACCTTAAAAGCATAGCTTGTATCAGGCATGCCATTACACAAAAACAGACGAATAACAGGAAAAACAATTACACACATGTATAATGCTAAGCAGTAAAGAAAGTTATGAAAAAGTTATGACAAATAATATGAATAATGAGCTACGAGTAGGATCGCCGTGCATACAAAGTCCAAGGGCAGAGGCACATTACATATAAAATATATCACATTACATAAGGTACAATTTAAGTTTGCGTTTGAAAATATTATAAGACCTTAAACATCTGAGAGAGAATGGTACTCATTGTGATGTAACACACTGAGTATACAGTGTGTGATGTAAGACACTGAGTATACAGTGTTTATACATCGGTGTAAGGGCAAAACCTAATTTAAAGTACAACATCCACGAAAACGAAAAACAAAACAATTACACTTACCTTTTGTGTGATCCTTGGACAGAACTTTAAAATGGTTTTGTGTTTAAATTTTCGCAACTTGAAAAGTACATGAGCAATGTGAATGATTATTGTACTAAAAGAAGGCTTATGAATTGGGCTTTCATATCCTAGGTTTTGAAAGTGATACACGTAGAACTTGATTAAAATATGGTCCTGACATTTGGTTTCCTTTTTTTGACTCGCCCTGTAAATATAAAAAAGGTGCGTAGGGATTCTCTGTTTTCTCAAAATTTTGCATCCACGAGCTTAAACTTATCAGGATAGTTGTGTTGCATTCTACTTTGGATTTTGAGCAATTTTGTTGCTTCAAACGACAAATCAAAATCGTCCTTTGTACCTTTAAAGTGATCATGCATTAAATTTGACGATTATATTCATGCCTCAATATAGGCCATGGGCCAATATAGGCCATGGGCCAAAATCTGTATCAGGTCTAGAAGTTGAGGTTCGTCTTAAAATTTTTGATGTCAGCTTGCTTTTACTATAAATTCGATAGTGCTGATTCTTAATCTGACTGTTCACATTGGCCCAAATTGCACATTAAAGTTATAACGACATTTTTTCCTCATTATTTTGCCCATTTTTGGTCAAAAATAGTATTTTTGCCATAACTTCTATGTTTTAAGTTCAGGCTTTGGCCCGCGGCCTAATAGAATGGATTATGAGTGTGAACGTTATTTATTTTGCATGTAGGAACTCCCGACACCACCCCACCAGACATCACAAACTGCCCCATGGACCAAGCAGAGACACTCCCAGAGGGCCAGATCAAAGTGGGTGTGTCCTGGACCGAGCCCACCATCGTCGATGCCAGGGGAACAGTCAGTGTGGACGTGAACTATCGGCCGGGGGACCTATTCTCAGCTGGTACTACGCAAGTGGTTTATGTGGCTACTGATGGTGCTGGTAACACAGCTAACTGCACATTCAATGTGCATGTCGATGGTAAGTAGTAATGTTGTGCATCGGGTCAGGTTGACCAGGCTAAACCGGCCCAAAACATTATAGATACAGAAGGAAATCCAAACTAAAACCGATATGTACTCCCCAAATATGACCCGATTTAACCAAAAACTCAAGCAAAAACCGACCCAAACCGACCTGAAACCGAACCGACCTGAAAAAACCCTGAATATCTGGCTTGGGCAACTGTATAAACTTTTGTGCCAGAACTTACCCACGTCGGGTGCAAATCATCGTCTCTCAGTAAAGACTCATATCGTATGGTACGGTGAAGACTGGTAACTTTACCTACTGGTGGGCTTACCAGTTATAGACTGTGCGTGTTAGACCGCAATTCACGTGCACATTTGCGCGGTGGGTTGACGTTGGTTGTAACAGGCACAGTAACTCTGCAGTAATATTGCTCCGCTTGAATTTCCAAACTGCTTCATTTTGTTTTGGTATAGTTTGTTTTTCACAAGATGGCTTAACCGACCCGAAAATCGCAAACGCAAAACCAAAACCGACTTGACTTGATTGAGATTATGGTCAAACCAACCTGACCCGACCCAAAGTCGGTTTGAGGTTGGGTTGGTGTCGGTTTCGGGTCAGGTTTGCACAACATTAGTAAGATTAATGATGTGAGAAAACAACATGAATTTAACATAAGATTAACAATTTAAAGATTAAATTTTAACACAAGATTGATGTATTAAACCCCGCACGCGGGAACAACACTTGTACATCTCCAATGCCACACCGTGTGTCCAGCTGTGTGCTACATTGTGCACGTGCATGCACGCACAACAGACTTTTGTACATGAATGTCGATACATCAATCACAGCTGTGATTGTATTAGAACATGATGTGCCATCCATAAAAGAAAAATGTGTTAATTGAATTGTGTAACAGGTGCCTAAGGACTGTCAAACTCTTTCACCTAACTTAAATTTCATTTAAATTTGACTGCATCTGTTTTTGGTGACAAATTTGGTGAAGGCTCAGAAAACGTATCATGTCCCGTAACCAGCTGTGGTTCACAGTCAACTTAGCAGGGGTCAGATTGTCCACTGTTCATGTTCAATCTAACCATAAACTCAAGGCCTGTATTTGCTCTTTTTTTACTTTCAGTGATTGACACGGTCAATCCCTTCTGGAGTGGCTGTCCTGGTGACATCCAGGCCTTTGTTCCATTTGGCACGCCCTCTAAATCAGTGACCTGGACTCCGCCCACCGCCTCGGATGCCATCAGCTCGGTCACCACCACGGCGTCACACACTCCCGGTGCCCAGTTCAACGTTGGAGACACCCAAGTGGTCTACACGGCTACCGACGTGGCTGGTAACCGGGGGTATTGCAACTTCACCATCACTATCACAGGTAGGGGAACCAGTCTTGCTGTCAAGTTCAATAGTATGAACTGCCAAGAATCAACATGCAGGGTGTGTAAAAAATCACTTAACCCTCAAACCGTCCTCTTTTTCACAGCTTTAAGAAAAAAAATGCAAATATCTATATACAGGGTGAGTAAAAAAAAAACGAAACCCAAATGTCAGGACCATTGTTTTAGTGAAGTTCTGCATGCAGCACTTTCAAACTCTAGGATATGAAAGCCAAATTCATAAGATTTCTTTTAGTACAAGAATCATTCAAATCACTCATGTACTTTTCAAGTTATGGCATTATAAACACAACCATTGTTTTAAAGTTCTGTCCACGGATCACATAAAGGCAAGTGTTCTTTCAGCAAAACGTTTTGGTTTCACTGAAAGAACGCACACCTTTTTTTGTGATCCGTGGACAGAACTTTAAAACAGTGGTTGTGTTTAAAATTCTGTATCTTGAAAATTACATGAGTGATTTGAATGATCCTTGTACTAAAAGAAAGCTTATGAATTGGCCATTTATATCCTAGATTTTGAAAGTGCTACATGTTGAACTTCACTAAAACAAAAGTCCCGACATTTGAGTTTCCTTTTTCTTTTACCCTGTATATTTGGAGAGTATATAGCCCTTCCAATCAGGTAAATATTTATTGAGTTATGGCCAATTGAAAACAAGCGCCGCTTTTTCATTTTGTCCATTGCGACTGATATTTTGACTGCTGCAATAAGAACACAGGCCGAAATTTGCATTTGTGAAAAAGATAACCAAGCAGAGGGCAGAAACAGAGCAGCACAGTAAACATCTGAGAAGTTAACCAAACAGTCCTTTTCAGGACTACCATTACTTCCAAAAAGATAATGACAATCTTTGCAAAAAATAAATTAACAAAATAAAGATTAAAACATTGAAACTAAAAACAAGTTAAAACAAATTAGAGCAAAACTCCCTCATCCCAAATCCATTACGTTCCTTACAAATGACAATTGAGTACATGTATGGAAATAATAAACAAAACTAAACATAACAAAAACAACCCAATCCAAGCTGGCCAGGATTGACAAAAGTATACTGAAACACTGCGACTCCAAAGCCTGTCGATCCCAACTCGAAATGGTAACATTCAAAAGTAAATTGAATTGACAAATAAAAAGTTGTAGAAAATGAATAAGATCGCATAGAAATAAGAGATTAAAAAAGATTTTAAAAACATTGACAATTACAAGGTATTAAAGGCAAGAAATAGCTGTAATAATGATCATAGATCACAAAAGCACAGGAATAAATTAAAAAAAAAAAAAAAACCTGCATGGTTAAAGGCTCAAAATATTTTGATCTTTCAGTTTTCTTGAAATTGTAGCTCACAAGATTCTCATTTTTCTTGGTTTTAATTTTTTTTTAATGCACAGAGGCTGTTGACACACAGGACCCCATCATTAACGGCTGCCCCATGAATATCACCAGAGAAGTCAACCCAGGCATCACGCAGCTGTCTGTCTCCTGGACCCCACCCACGGCCATTGATGATTTTGGCACTCCGTCGTTTGTCTCCAACTTTCAGGTTGGGCATACCTTCGCAGTCAGTACGCATGAGGTCGTGTACACGGCCACAGACGGGTCTGGTAATAGTGCCGAATGTAGATTCTCCATCACGATAACTGGTGAGTTTTTGCTGGACGATTCTGCGGAACGATTCTATATGTGGGGAGTATTAGTCCAAGTCACACATTTTACGGTTTGGAGCTGCAGATCTCCACGGTTTGAACTTTGTGATAAACCGTGGGAGTACCGTATTCATCCTTAGTACCTCCGTGGTTATCCGTCATCTTCCTTGGGTATTCGTGGAGGGGCTACGGATGTTTTAAACTGTTCAAAACTTCCGTGGTGAAACGTCATGAAAATTGATCTGTAGTGCAACCATGGGACATCTGTAGGACAAACGTTGTGTTATTCGTGGCTATTTGTAATTATTGTCGCTACGAAGGTCCTACAGATATTCCTGGATGTACTAGGGTTCTGCCAAGGTTGTACTATGAATCTCCAAGCTTTATTCGTAGGAGAACCTTGGTCATCTGTGGCCCAATCGCAGACAACCATGGCGTTAACGTCATTATTTTTAGTAATACCGTCAATATTCTTCTCCAATACGTCCATAATCTTGACACACCGCGGTGTACTCGTAGAGAAACCTTAGGACAGTCGTGCTATCCGTTCTGAAACCGTATATTTTTTTTAGAGGGGGGCAAAATATTTTTCCCAAAAAAATCCTGGATTTCTCAACATTTTCTCGATTTCTCAGTTTTAGAGGGGGGCAGGGACATTTTGCCCCCCCCCCCACTCATTAAATTTACACCACTATGACTTCGCGCCTCTTTTTCTTTTCTTTTTTCGCCAGCTCTCACTGACTCGACCCCACCGACTATCTCCAACTGTCCCGCCAAAATAACCAGGCGTGTTGGCGCTGCCGTGACGTCTATCATCGTTGCCTGGACACCTCCCACGGCCTCCGATGATTTCTCCGGCGTCAGTCTCACCACGACCCACAATCCGTCCAACTCGTTCCAGTCCGGGACGACGGTTGTCACATACACAGCTGAAGATGGCGTTGGCAACACAGTCACCTGTGTCTTCAGTGTCAACATTATCAGTAGGTTGACCCCCTTATTCAGAATGTTTACAGTGGGGTAAAAAACAACACTCTATATACAAGGCCGTCAGCAATTTATACTGGTATAGAAAGTGACTCTTAATAGGTGTTCTTGAAATTTTTTAAATTCGTGTTTGAGTTTTTTTCAATGCCTTCCTTCCTTTAAAGGTAGAGTCGATTGTGTTTTTTTTTTTGAAGCAACAAAAGTGTTCAAAATCCAAAGAAGGGTACTTAACAATTAACCAGATGAAGTTTTAGCTCAGTGAATGCTGTATATTCCGAGCAAAATATATTTTAGGGTCTCAATTTTAATTCAAAAGTTGCTGAGTCATGTTTGAATGTCCCCGAGTAACAGCAATCGCGCAAATAATAACAACTGCTCGCATGTGTGTGTGTGTGTGTCGTTTCAACACTTGCACGCACCAATTCACGGCTTCGCCAAATTGACTACGAACTACTAACAGAAATTTCCAAAAATGTGTCATTAGACGCATATTTTGAAATGACCTTCTTTTATCGTTTTCTTCAAAATGACAGCATGCCAGAAAGAACAATTTCACAGGGAGTTTAATGCCATGACTTTCTTTAAATAAAACCAAGTTCGCTTTTCAACAATAATTTAATCGGTTACTTTTTTGATGGCTGCAAATGATATACTCTATACCTTTAAACTCAAGGAAACCATTTGTTGGTTCGGTAAAATTTCAAACGTGAGTTATCTTTGTTTGAGTGTTGCTTTACTCTTTAATGTACAAGATTATTGACCGAATCGATTGATTTTATCCGTAACTTCAGATGATGCCACCGCTCCTGTCTTTGTGGGATGCCCAAGTGATGTCGGTGCGACTGCTCCCCCAGGCCAGAATCAGGCCACTGCATCCTGGACGCCCCCTACCGCTACCGACGACTCCGGGGAACCAGTTAACCTGCAAACCACTCACGAGCCCCCCACGCTATTCAACCTGGGCATGACGACGGTCACCTACACGGCCTTTGATAACTACGGCAATTCAGACACCTGTTCTTTCGTTGTCGACGTTGTCGGTGAGTTTTTACAAAGGCTTCCAGGAAGAAGAGTTTCGTTGACAATATAATAATAATAATAATAATAATAATAACATTTATAAAGCGCCTTTTCCTAGGGTTACAAAGCGCTCAGAAAATGACCCAAAATTACAACATTGACAAGGATAAAATAATGGAAAACCAAATGGAACTGAAACCACTGCCAGGCCCAGGCCACGGCGCTCAGACAAGAGAGCCCAGCGATAGAATCGCAGGGAAACAATCAAAGGGAGACCGAGGAGTGCAGGGGCTCCCTGAGACGAGCACACGCGGGCCAGGCCTGACGAGGTAGTTACAGATTAAACAAGTGTGTCTTTAATGACCCTTTAAACTTGTCCAAGGAGCTAGAAATTCACTTCATGGCATTGTGCAGAAAAAAAGAAAGAAAACAAACACATGAAGGGATCAGTGCCATTGAACAGCCTATCAGGTTAGAACAGCCAGTTTTCAGGTTATAGCCTGGATTCAGGCTTTCTCATGTTTTGGAAAACAGGCTTTCCATCCCTTCACAGACCGGAAAAATGAAACCTCGTGTAGCATGTACAGAGAAAAACAAACATGCACACGCGCTTTCGGGCAAACGCCACGCTAGCTTCATACACGAATGTATGCATTGTAAGTTCAAAGTACAGGGTGAGTAAAAAAAAAAAGGGAAACCCAATTGGCTACCACTATTTTTTAAAGAAGCTCTGCAAGATCTAGGATGCGAAAGCCCAATTAATAAGCTTTCTTTTAGTTAAAGAATCATTCAAATCACTCACGTACTTTGGCAGTTATGGAATTTTACACACAAACACATTTTTGTAACCCTGTCCATGGATCACAACAAAGGTAAGTGATATTTCAGGAAAACGGAAACTGTTCATATATATAAAAAAAAAAAACCATCAAATAACATGCGTTATAATGTCAATAGTTCATAGTCTTGCACTGCCTTCTAGTTTGCTACCCCGGAGACTTATGAGATTATTCTGATCTCATTTTCAGGATATCACATGGTTTCATTTTTACTTAAATATCTCATACCATAAATGTGATCCGTGGATAAGGTTTAAAAAAAAACGGAGTTTGTGTTAAAAATTCAATTTTTGGTGCGATCTGAGGAAATTTCTGACCACTTTAACCAATAATTTCTCAGCAAAAGATACATTGTGTATAACAGGGCCCTGTAAATGAGACACACAATTAAGTTCAAAAATGCATTTTGTGTCCCCCATCCTTCAAAAAGTGGGGGGACGTGTCCCCTTGTCCCCCCCCCCCCCCCCAGGATTGACGCCCTGGCGTGACAGGCTCTCGACCAGTAGGAATGGGTAAACTGTCTTAGGTATTTATGAATGGTCCTTTTCTGGCTTGCAGATGATCAAGGTGCGCCAACCATTCTGAACTGCCCAGACAGCATCAATCATTACGTGGCGTCAGGGGTACCCCAAGCCAACGTAGCGTGGACCGCTCCTACAGCGCTTCCCGCTTCAGCGACTCTAACGACCGACCGTGAACCAGGGACTAGCTTCAACGCTGGTACTAGCACACTGGTAACCTACACGGCTACAGACGACCTCAGCCGCTCTTCCACTTGCTCATTTACTGTTGCTGTCATAGGTGAGCGGAGATCCCAACAAAGAAACGTTTGGATTCTACTATTAGGCCAACAAAAAAATAAGTCGGTCTCTGGTCAGCGCGTGCGTCGATTTTAATCATGCGCGTCGATCTTTTTTTTTTTTTACATGTTCCGCGGTAGCTTCAACAGCGCCCTCTATTTCCGCACCTCAATTTTTTTTACCAAAGAGCACCAAAGAATAGGAAATTGCACCAAGGCAAATGATCGAAAGCACCAAGGCAAATTATGGAGGACACCAATGTACATGAGGACACCAAAAAAGCAAAATAGTACCCCACCTTGTCTGTACAATCCAAGCTTGAAGAAAGGGAAATAAAGTGGGGAAAAAAAGCCGCGTGGCCGCGTCAATTCCGGAACTTTGGTCTGACCAGAGACCGAATATTTTTTTTTTTTGGCCTTAGTGCCATACAATAACCTGTGAGATATAATATGTGACGACTGATGTGATCGGTAACATGTATGACACAGAATCTGCCTATGATTTTTCAAAACTCAACACTCAATTTTCACATATCTGCCTGACTTTGCTTATATACAGGCGTTAAGTGTGCACATTTTAAAGGTAGAGTACAGCACTTGCAGCTATCCAAAAAGTAACTGACAAAATTTTTGCTGAAAAGCTTACTTGGTTTAAAGATAGTGATGGCACTATTAAAACTCCCAGTGAAATCCTTCTGGCATGCTGTCATTTTGAAGAAAACAATAAAAGAAGGTCATTTCCAAAGATGCATCTGAAGATGCCTTTTTGGAAATTTCCATTAATAGTTCTTTTTTATTCGGCTAAGCCTGAATAGGTGCACGCAAGTGTTGACAGGACGCACACGCGCATGCGGTCATTATAATTCGGCGGTTCAGTGTGTGACATCGCATAGCTGCAATCAGCTGAATGAGAAGGTGTACAGGACGCTGATTTCAGGCACAATTCAAACATGACTCTGCAAGATCTCAATTGAAATTGAGATCCTAGAATATTGTTTTCTCAGAATATACAAAATTCACTGAGCTAAGATTCCATTAGGTTAGTTGTTAAGCACCCTTCTTAGGTTTTTCAGCACTTCTGTTGTTTCAAACCAAAAAAATTGCACAACGGGAGACTTTGAGACGTTGGTGGCAGCAAACACACCGGTCCTTTTCAATTGTTTACATCACGTTAAATCTAAAGTGCTCATGCTCAATATGACGCAAACAATGGAAAATTACAAATTGAGAATTTGCCAGTTTTATTTAGACGGAACCAGCTACTCTTTTTCAATTTACAACTTTCTGAAAATAGGTATTTATTTTGGGTTACTATTAGGCCTATAACGCACAAAAAGATATTGAAGCTTTGGCCGCAGATAATTCAAAATTTGTCAAGTAAATTTGTTAAAGTGATTGGGGGGGGGGGGATTTTTTTCAAGATGTCCCATTCACAAATGAACATTTTTCTATTTGACAGAAAAAAAAAGCAATTTAAAAACAAAACCCTTTTTTTGGCGTGAAAACTTGAAAAGTTAGCACTGAGAGAGCAACTTGAAAAACTTCACTTCTGTTAACAGATGAAACCTTTTCTTTGTCTTTCTTTTCCAGTGGATACCCAGGCTCCAGTGATAGTGAATTGTCTGTCCAATATTGCAGAGACCGTACCCCAGGGTCAGACTTCCCTCTCCGTCAGCTGGACTCCTCCAGTAGCCACTGACAATTCAGGTCAAGTCACTCTGACACCGTCACACAATCCTGGCGATGGTTTCACGGTACAGACCACGCCGGTCACCTACACGGCTACAGATCCATTTGGTTTGACGGCAGTGTGTCAATTCACTGTGACTGTCACAGGTGAGACTTGTCCAAACTTGCGTCAATAACGCCAAAGAAAAGGTTCCGGATTCTGGTCTGCGCGCTTCGCCGTAGCCATGCACGTCGGCAAAATGAAAAAGGTTTTTTTTTTTCAATGTAAGATGATGCCTCAAAACTGCCAAACTCACTGGTTTGACTGGAATCCTGCTTCTGCACAATTTTAACGTGTTTTTTGATGGGGTTATGATCGAGTATAAGCTTTATGTGACCCCTCTGGGCTCCCATACATTTTGCACTAAATTTAGTCGGGCACCATTTGCAGTCATCAGCCGACATTTGAAGAAAAAAAATGTAAAAACAAAAAAAGCCGCGTCGCCGCACCACTTTTGGGGCAAGCTCTATACCAGAAACCGGAGACTTTTTTTTGGGCCTAAGCCAGTTCGGTATTCCAACTGTGCGTGCACACAATGATATGGGTCAAGGGTCATTCGGGATAATCGAAGGCAAATGAACACGCACAGGGAGACGGGCGCACGACGCTTATGTGTTAATTACGAGCAGAACGGGCGCTCACGTTACATCGCGTAACATCGCGTAACATCGCGTAACATCGCGTAACATCACATCTACGATTTTATTCCGAAAGACCTTTAACATAGACTAAATATCGAACTGGCTTATTCATCACATGCTACTGATTTTGTTTAAAGTGTGTTTCGCTTTTTTTTTTAAATCCAGTTGTTTAAAGGTAGAGTGTATCATTTGCAGCTATTCTAAAGGTAACCGACAGAATTATTGTTGAAAAACATATTTGGCTTAAAGATAGTGGTGACACTAAACTCCCTGTGAAATTGTTCTTTCTGGCATGCTGTCATTTTGGAGAAGACGGTTAAAGAAGGTTCTTTCCAAAGATGCGTCTTAAGACACACATTTGGAAATTTATGTTAGTAGTTCGTTTATAATTTGGCGAAGCCGTGAATGGGTGCGTGCTCGCGCACACTCATGTGCAGTTTCTGTAATTCGTCGGTTCAGTGCGTGACATCGCGTAGCTGCAATCGACAGAATGAGAATGTGTCCTGGAAGCTGATTTTGGTGCAATTCAAAACATGACCCTGCAACTTTTAAATGGAAATTGAGATCCTAGAATATTGTTTTCTCGAAATATACCGCATTCACTGAGCTAAAAGTTCCTCAGGTTAGTTGTTAAGCACCCGTCTTTAGATTTTGAGTACTTTTGTTGCTTCAAACGAAAAAAAATGCACAAATGACATATCATTTACTCTACCTTTAACTTTGTGAATTTTTTAGCTTTGAGCAAATGAGCCTGAAATAAAACAGTATGAGTTCCATTATTTATGACAAATGATCTACTCTACCTTTAAGCCTGATTTCCTTTGAAACATTCTATGGGCCTTATTCATGAGCCGGCCATATTGAATTGAAAGTGAGGCAAAATCTTTTAATTTTTGGAACTTGCGAAGAGAAATGAAAGCAACTTAATGTATAATAAATTCCAGGCTGCTTCAATAAATCATTTAACATTTGAAATTAAACATTCCCTTATGTTTAGAGCCATATTAAAAAAAATGACGGTAAAATAAGGCTGCATTGTGCCTAAAAAGTCTGGCGCCATCCCACTCAACATTTAAAAATGAATGAAATACATTCAGGGAACTCGACACAAATGGCCAACTCGTGAATAAGGCCCATTGTGATCAGTCAAACAAATAATAGAAGTCAGTTTATAAGATCAGTGATTTTTTAAACCATGATTTGTACAGTAGAAGTCACCTGATGCGAATTTGCCTATTTTGGTGCAGTTTCTAACGACAACACGTTACCAGTGATTTCCAACTGCCCGTCCAATATCGCGAGAGCGACAGACACTGGTCTGGCCACGGCCTCAGTCACATGGACCGCTCCCACGGCAACCGATGACCAAGGAGCTGTAACGTTGACGTCCGACATCTCCCCTGGATTTGCCTTCCCTATTGGGATGACTGAAGTTACGTACACGGCTATCGATGGCAATAACAACCAAGTCACTTGCGTGTTCACTGTCACTGTTACTGGTAAGATATCTAATGGAATATTCAATCTAGGGTCTTACGTGCTACATTAAAAGTTGGCAGAATGTTATTTAAGATCATCCCATTAAATTTTAAAAACCATTCTAATGCCAGAAATCTCAGAATGTCCTCTGCAATTAAGTAATGTAAAAAAAGACAGGTCCTAGGGGTGTCATACCCCCAGCTCTGTCAAAATGTTTTTGTTTCAATAGAAATTCATACAAAAATAATGCTAACACCCCCTGTTCTGACACCCCAAAACAATTCCACTTGTGTTAATATACACCTGTAAACAAAATACGGTCAAATCCCGTTGGTTTCCGACAGTATGTGTGCACTATTCTCTAACACGGTGTGAATAACCGTCGGATTTGAACAGCACCCCCATTGAAAGTATGGTACAAGCCCCCCCACGCCCCCCTCCCCCCCCCCCCCCCCCCCCCCCCCCCCCCCCCCCACGTATTGATTTTATGGAACCAAGTGTCTGGACAAAAAAAACCTGTCTACATTTCAGTATTGATTTGCTGATGAAACCCCTCCCTGCAAAAATACCTGGATCTGCCCCTGAAAGTGCCTGATGATTGGCCCTCAATTTTATACTTGGTTGAGATTCTATTATCAATCGCTTAAATTTGCTTCAATTCCCCCATTAGTATGTTTTCTTGTACCAATTGTAGGCTATTTCTTGTCTTATATGATGTGAGTAAACTTCCAGTAGACTTAAGAGTTAACTCCCAGTAGACTTAGGATTGACAACAGATATATACTCTTAATTTCTGTAGCTGACCGTGCTTTGTTTTGTTGCATGCTCTCCCACACAGATGAAGAGAACCCTACTCTTGCTAACTGTCCACAGAGTTTCACTCTGTCCGTGGCCCAAGCCACGGATCAGGCCATCGCTAATTGGACGCCGCCGACCGCCTCAGACAACTCGGGCACGGTAACCCGGACGACGACCTTTGAACCTGGCCAATCACTGTCTGTGGGCCAATATCCGGTGACGTATACAGCAACGGACCCTGCTGACTTGACGGCAACATGCACGTTCACTGTCACTGTACAACCTAGTAAGTCACTTACTGACAAAATTAAATTCAATGTCAACTTTTTAGCTTGCTTAATCCCATGAAAGGTGTTGATTAATTATTTTCTTCAAACAAACTTGTATCCTTGATCCGTGTTCCATCTTAACCATCTTGAAGTTACGTCAAGAAGATTTAATTTCTTATCCTGCTAGCATTCCTGGAATATGTATGCTATACTGTTCCCTGTTGCACTGGAACTCATTGAATAATTAAAAATTGTTGACTACTGTAGCCAAGTTCGCGCAAGGACTATAGTTGACCAATGGTTAACTAACGTTTGCCCGAACTCTGTCTAGTCGACGGTGGTTGACTACGCTAGTCGACTATTTGGAACCAGCCTACTTGGGTTGGTTGCTTCGCTGGTAACCAATAGCCGCATTCATAACGCTAGCAGAGAGCCAGGATCCAGAAGTTTTACGATGACATTCTGACCAGCGTTTGACTAGAGACGTTCGCACGTTGCTATTAGTGCGCAGGCGTAAGGTACGTCACAAATCAACCACTAGTCGACTAATGGTCCTTGCCCGAACTTGGCCTGTGATGTGGGATATGACCTTTTTAACACCCGAGGGGCGCATAGCACCCGAGGGGAATGTGCCCCGAGGGGGTTAGACTTGGTGCCAAGTTGGTAATTGTTTTACGTACGGTTACTGGTTCCACGCACACAAATATCCCTGCAATGCATGTAGTCTAGTTCCCAGACCAAATGATGCTGATTATTTCTGATTACGTACTAGTCTTATACCAGCCGCGCTGATGGAGTTTGACTGAAGTTAACGGACAAAATACGACTATCTAATGACTTGTCATGAAGTAGCTACGAGGGGGTTAAAAACGAATATGAATTGTTCCCACATCTGATCATTGGTTTCATTGTATGCATGAAGACCTATGAAAGTGAAGTTTTGATGAACAATTGTTATAAATAGAGTATGTAAAGGTCATTGACCTCTCAAAGGTCGCCGGAGGTCAAATACGAAATGCTAATATCTGGAAATTTGCTTCGCGGCATGAAGAATCAAAATGGGAAGTTTCATGCTTTTATCACAAAGTGCACCATTTTTGGAAATGACTATGGAGGCCATGCCGCTACACTTTCAGTTCTCATTTCACTTGTTTGTTTTGTCCCTCTATAGGTACGGGCTGTAATGCCAGTCCCTGCAACAATGGTGGTGCATGCATCCCTGCTGCTAATAATGGATTCACCTGCTCATGTACATCATTCTGGATGGGTACAACCTGTGATGAGGGTCAGTCCATGTTTCTTGAATATCTCTCCCAAGCAAAAAATAAAACCTCTTTACCTTGTAATTGCCTTACAGCAGGGATGGCAGTTTTCCAGCTATGCGCTCTCCGTGCACAAGTACTCGCTCAACGGCCAGAAAAGGAGAGTTGGGGCAGACCTAGACTGGTTCCCGGTCCATCCACTGGGTATTTCGAATGATCCAAAGTTATTGGGGCGGGGATTAGTCTGTCTGGGAGACCAATCTCACGTTGTATAATTTGAATGTATTCGCACGCCGACGATGCCTGACGCTGATTTTAGTTGGAGATCACAAAAACGGTGGTCTATGATCATCCACACGTCTGTACCTTGAAAATGGGCGTGTAATCGCAACTTACAAGAATTTGGTCCATCCAAAAATCGAGCTGTTGGAGCTCTTGTCGTAATTCTACTCACAACTGGTTATAAGCTGCCAAAAGATATCCTAGGCCAAGAAACTAAACACCCCCCCCCCCCCAGCCCGCCCCAACACCATCACCAAAAAAAGCCCCTAAAACCAGAATTTTTAAAACTGGGTACCGCAAAAATCCACGCTGTCTCTAATGAAGAATTTCACGAGTGTGTGTGGTGATATGAGCAGATGTCAATAAACAGCAAATTTCAAATCTTGAAACACTGTTCTGAATAAAAGAAATATCATATGAAATAGAACTTAATAGTTACCTTTCAGAGTCTATTGATTAAGCAGGACGTAGCTTGCGAGGTCGTCACAACCTCGTCGTTCAGCGTTGTGGCTCACATTTCTTTGTCAATATATCAGAGTCCAATATGCTGCTATCATATGAAACGTCTGTTTGTGTGTTTGTGATGAGCAGATGTCAATGAATGTGCGTCGGCCCCAGCAACTTCCGAGTGTTCAGCTAGGGGATTGAGCTGTTTCAACCGACTGGATCCCGTTGGCTACACCTGTGACTGCCCTGTGGGCTTCGTGAGAGCTGGAAACTCTGACAATTGCTTAAGTAAGATAACACTTACAAGACAGTCTGGACTCGGACATTTATACCTAATCAGTATTTGTCTTCTTGTGAAACAACAAAGCATGTTTTTAAGCCATCGTATTCACATAAATGAAAGTTGACACACAAGTGACAACCTCGCGGCCAATCATCAAATTTGAAAATGTCAAGATGAACACAGAAAAATTCCCAAGATTTTGCATTGTGTATTGAAATAGCAGCAAAAGACCTATGTTTTAAGTGTGTATGAGGCTCACAAAGTGCCACAATTAACATTTTCGGCATGCACAATCCATACTTTGTGTGTTCAAAATCCAGTGCTCTGTTCTTTGTATTCTCCTGACCAAAGCTATATCACAGGATTTGGGGCAAGCCTTATGCTAGCAACCCCCAGCTCCGGCATGGTCTGGTGTCTTTGTGCCATTCTCACCCATTGTGAACAATGTATTGGTGCTGAGCGTCTCTTATAGTACTATGCAAGAGCTTGCCCCGAATCATGTGATTAGCAACAGTGTCGTTGGTCTGGAGAACTCAAAGTTAAAATGTGCCCAGCATTCTGAGCAAGTCAGTGTACCAGATGTTCTTCAAATTTAAATCCCAAAGGGTATAGGTTACTCGCAAATGACTTATTGCGAGACTGATTTGCTATCAGGCAAAACTGCCACAGACTGATTTTCCCCTTAGCTTCCTTGATAATAGTATGTATTTATAAAGCGCACGTATTCACCTGGACCGGTGCTCAAGGCGCTACATCATTAGGACCCCTGCTCATTGGACCCATGAAACATTCCTAACACCATCTCGGCTCCCTGGGGAGTATACAGCTCCATGCTGCCATTTCGGCGCAAAGCAAGTCAACAACACTAACCATCTCTACCCTCTAAGGTACCCAGTTACTAATGAGTGACATTATTAGCCTTCTCGAGTCGAGTCGAGTCATTCTGATGAGGGACTTGAGTCGAGTTGAGTCATTTGCTCGCGGTAACTCGAGTCGAGTCGAGTCATTTACCCTTAGGGACTCGAGTCGAGTCACCAAAATATGTGACTCGAGTCGGACTCGAGTCGAACCATTGACTCGAGTCATTACAACTCTGGGCTGGACTCGAACCCACAATCTGCAAATGTGATGTGTGTCACATCTGTGGCCTGAGTGACATGAAAGTGCCATCAACGTTTCATTTTGTTTTGCATTTGGCAGGGGCGAGAAGTTTCCGCTTCCGAATCACCATTGTTGAGATCAACGGAGCTCTAGCTGTGTTTGTCACAGGCCTGGGCAATTCCAATACCGTTATTTTCCTGAGTCATCAAATACGACTTCAAGTTTTGGTAAGATTATATGGCATGAACTGATATTTAAGTGCATTTATTTTCCAATGAGCAAGAGAGAGAGAGCTGTATGATATTCAACCATTTCCACTGACAGGGTTTCGTCTTGGAAAAGCTATCATGGAAAGTAATGGGAAAGTCATGGAATTTTGTCACTTTACAAAGTTGATATTCCAAGAAAAAGTCATGTCATGGAATCCTGCACAAACCCCAAAAATTATATTTCATATTTAAAGGGAATATACAACATTTGCAAACATCGAAAAATAAAACTACCAAGTTTTTACGAAATACCTTACTAGGATGTTGGTAAATGACAGTCTAAGGCATCCTTTAAAATTATGGCACCTGGTGTCAAGTCATTTTCAAGAAACTTGTATTTTTGTATACATTTCCAACGGTGGTCGGCCGATCACCGTTTGAAAAACCTAACTATTTTTCAACTACTGCTCCAAATTTACAATTTTCAGTCCAAATTTTGTTTGCTATTGGTTACATGTTCATGAACGGGTGCAGGCCAGCTAGACTGGTTCTCTTACCTTACAATTTTCCGACAACTATAAATTGATCCATTTTATCTTAAGTGGAGTCAGGGAACCAGACTACTTAAACCTTTTTTTGTTTTTCTTGGTTTTTCAAGCATTTTCAAAACACAAAACTTCAAAACATGTCAGTTAAACAATATTTGATCTAGGCCTATTATACTAACCCCTCAAATAGTTCATTTCTGAAAATTACAGCAAAGGCCAATGATGTACATTCCCTTTAAAAACATATGTAGCACCTAACACAGTAATGACTGGAAAGCCAATTTCATAAGCTACTTTTAGATGAAAAAATTACTGAAATTCTCAATCCGTTCAAAGAATATCACCATTCAAACACAATGACTCTAGAACCTTTTTCATCCAAAAATGCGATTTGAAGAATTGTCGTCACAATTGTCTTCAAACATCACCAGAGATAAAACCTCAGTTTAAAAGTTGAAAATATTCCACAAAGTCTTTTTGAAGGCCCGTCTTTTAAAAACAATGGATGTTATGAATCATATTGTTTGCCGAACCAGGGTTGTTAATAAAGATATTGTGTACTACAGTTGTTGACAGCTGTTGAAACAAGTATTCTCAGGCGTGCAACTTTTCCTCGGATCCGCTGATTTCCTCTTTTTTTACTTCTCATGAATGCCATTACAAATTGAAAAATACTGTAATAAATTTGTTTTTGGCCAGGGTCGATAAACGACTCGTGTAGCTTGATCGCATCACATATTTTGTTAAAATATGAAACACATTTTTGTGGGTTTGGGTTCTGCTTTTTTGACTCACTCTGTATTAGGTTATGGCATCTTCAAGTTTACATTCCTATGTACCAAACCCCCAATATATGTGTACATGCTGCATATTCATTGCATCACTGTGATGCTTTTGTGGTGCCCAGTGGTCTTGTGCCAAACTGGAAGGCTGAAAGGGAGTAGTGTCCCTTGCCCCAGAGCAATAAACTCCCATTAGATGCCTGAAACAGCATAGGAATTGGTCATGGAAAGCCCTCATTTTGTCCCGGAAAAGTCCTGGAATTTCATGTTAAGATCTCTGTGGGAACCCTGGTCACTGAATATTTTTTTGACCTTTTTATCTGTTACCCTCACTCACTGAGAAATGGTGAATTTTGGATTACAGTTTGCTCTGGTGTTTAGTGGCATGCCGGGCTTTGGCAATGTCGTCGTGCTGTTCTTCTCCCCCGGTAGCATCGTGGTTGAAGCGGTGGTCAATTTTGACCCAAGTTCAACAGTGACTCAGGAGGACGTCAATAACGCCGTGCGGCAAGGAATCACCACTGGAGATCTGCTCATGGGATCCGAATACAAGGTCACTCCTAGTCCTTCAGTTGTCATCGAAGGTAATACATGCTCACCCACATCATAATGTCTTGGTGCATGGCGTTCTTAGCGGGGTAGTTCACAGTAGATGATACAGCCTTTGTACCGCCCAACAGCATTAATGTTTCCATTCACGAACCGCACGCAATGATCTTGGGAATTTCGCGTTGCAACAGGGTGTGACTTAATATGCAAATAACAGCACATGCGCATTGGTGCACACAAAAGAGCTGTTCCAAAAACCATTGGTTAGGCTAGTACCGTACACGGGCAATCCAATACACTAGATGCTAACCGGTTGATCATACGGTCCGGTCGAATCACGGCCACATCCAGATTTCTGAAGAGGACTGATTTTAACGCCTTCCAAGGCCCTGTTTCTCTGCTGCCAAATTGACTGCTTCGTCCACGCAGTTGACATTTTCCTCACAGGCTCGCTTGCAAGCTGCAGTACATACAGACGCCAGACCTGCTTACTAGGACTTCTTGCACACAATTTGCAAATGCACACACAATGCGAAATTCCCAAGACGTCCTTTGCAGACTAGCGTGTGTATAAAGGGCGCCTGCTTCGGTGAATCGCTGCACAGTACAATAACCTGTGGGCGTTGACACATCGCACATCTTTGAACCAAGACTACATAAAGCCTAAAGGCAGTGGTGTGCATATCAATGAAAGATAACACCATTTGCAAAAACAGTGTTTGCTTGCCGATTCAGCAAACATCGAAAATCTGAAGCAGGTCATGTGAAACATATGTGACAACACATTAGTGCTGGGCGAGTAACCGGAGTACGCAAGTACTCGCGAGTAGTGTTTGCTACTCGTTCGGCTCGTGTGGTTTTTCATCTACTCAAGTACTCGTCCAGGCATGAGTAGAAGTAGCTGCTCGCGAGTAGCAATTTTGTTTTACATGTGCTGACTAAGAAAACAGTAACCACTATGCGGTTTCTGCGCTAAACTTGTCTGTTGTCTTAATACGTCCCCGGCAATAAAGGAATCCCTACCTCCATCTGTTTCCTTGGGATTCCGCTAGCACTCTCAATAAATAAATGTTCAAGTAAAATGAGCCAAAGTTTTGTATAGTAAGGATATCTCAGTGCTGAACATGGTGTCTTCTCTGCTGTTTATTCGTAGTGACTTCCTTCTTAGTAATGTTTATGCCATATTTTCTGTATTTATGGGAATTTACTCGTGAGTACTCGACTACTCGTGAGTACTCCCTCTGTGCGAGTACTCCAGCAGGAAAATTTTCCACTTCTCGCCCAGGCCTACAATGCATCTTTATTTTTCTCGACGCAAGGCTTATATTTTATTTTGAAATTTAATGTAACATTACATTATTCTTTCTGAACCAACAGAGGTTTGTGTTGATGGTTACTGCCAGAATGGAGGGACGTGTGCACCGAGCTCTGCCAGCTATCTCAGTACATGCATGTAAGGTTTTTTTTATTTAAATCTATAGTCCATCATTTGTAATTAGTGCATTTTGTTCGTTTGAAGCAACAAAAGTGTTCAAAATCTAATGAAGGATACTGAACAACTTACTTGATGAAGTTTCAGCTCAGCTTCAGCTTCATATTCCGAGAAAAACAGGTTTCTAGGATCTCAATTTAAAATCAAAAGTTGCTAAATCATGTTTCGAATTGTTTTGAATTGCAGCTTTACGCGAGGTTGCGCACTGATCCACCGAATTATAGCAACCGCGCGCGCCTGTGCGTCGTTCCAATGCTTGTGCGCGCTGCGCCGAATAACAAAATGAACAACTAATTTAAATTTTCCTACGGTGCTTCTTAAGAAGCACCGTTGGAAATGCCTTCTTTCGTTGATTTCTTCAAAATGAGAGCTTGCCAGAAAGGATAATTTCACAGGGAGTTTAGTCCCCTTACTTTCTTTCAATCAGTATGTTTTTCAACAATACTTACGCCGGTTACTTTTTTGAATAGCTGCAAATGATGGACTTGGGCTTTAAACAATTTGTTTTCAAGCAGTGATGTTCTGAATGTTCTAATTTTTTATGCCCCGCGGCGAAGCCGAAGGGGCATACTGTTTCCGCCTTGTCCTTCCGTGGGTGGGTGGGTGGGTGTGTGTGTGGGTGGGTGTGTGGGTGTGTGTGTCCGGACAAATTTTGTCAGCGCGATAACTTGAGAAATACTTTACATATGAACTTCAAATTTGGTTTGTGGATTGTCCTTGGTAATCCTAAGAAGCCTTTTGCATTTGGGGCCGAAAGGTCAAGGGTCAAGGTCACAGTGGCTGAAACAATAGAAATTTTGTCAGCGCGATAACTTGAGAAATACTTTACATATGAACTTCAAATTTGGTTTGTGGATTGTCCTTGGCAATTCTAAGAAGCCTTTTGCATTTGGGGCCAAAAGGTCAAGGGTCAAGGTCACAGTGGCTGAAACAATAGAAATTTTGTCAGCGCGATAACTTGAGAAATACTTTACATATGAATTTCAAATTTGGTTTGTGGATTGTCCTTGGCAATCCTAAGAAGCCTATCGCATTGGGGGTCAAAAGGTCAAGGGTCAAGGTCACAGTGGCTAAAACAATAGAAATCTTGTATTTATTCTGAGATCATAGGGATTAGGGATTAATTCATATAAAACCTACAGAAGACACTAATGCTGTCAATGAACGTTCCATTTGACCAAGGTACATGTAAGTTGATGTTAGAGTGGTGTTATGTCATGGAAACAGTCACGGTTGCGGGGCATTTGTGTTTGTAAACACACCTGACTTGTTTCTTGTTGTGTTTACAGAGATATTTTCTATTCATACTAATACTTTTCATATGTGAATTTTGAATTGCATTTAATGTTAAGTCCCTTCACAAAACCTCAACAATTCTTGCAGTAGCTGATTTCCGATTTTGGAGGGTTTGATAAATAAATTGACAACATGAACAATTCCTTATTCATCTTTAATACAGTTCTGATGTTTGCGTTTATTATGTGTTTCAGATGCCCATCGGGATATGGCGGTGACAGATGCCAGAGTATGATTGTAACAACAAGTATGTAGACAATTTTGCTTGAATAGACTAACATTATACACAGTAAGCTTGAAACAAATTAGTCCCTGTATTGCCCGAACCGCCCCAGCACTTTATGATTTGATGGATTTAATGGGGAATGAACACAAATGTAATACAATGCAATCATAATGAAAAGTAGCGCGCATCTGCTCAACCGGAAATGTCCACTCAAGATTTAACGTGGGGAAATGACCCCAAAGATAGCCCATTTTTACACTAAATTCCTTATATCTTCAGAATGGACGGTCGCACAAATCTGGGGGTTGCAGATTATGAAAATTCATTCTTCTGGCTTTAAGTCTATCTATGTATGGCTTGGAAAGACAGAAAAACCACTGATCATTTTTTGTATTGAAAATGTGGGATATGAGGCAATTGCCTATGGAGCAGAACAGAAAACGACCGTTTGTGAGAGACCTTTCGTTGTTTATCTCAACGTATCTCGAGAACCCAATGTCAGAGCACACTGGGGGTAGCGGTTTTGTAAAGAGGATGAAGTTCTCTTTCCATTCATATAAGACTTGATTTCATTGGTTAAGAAACCACTGATCATTTCTTTGTCAAAGTTTTCCCCCAATGACTGGATTTCTTGCAGAGGTCAGTTGTGTGAGTGCGCGTGGCCAGCGTGTTGCATGTGGTATGCAAATCGCAAGGTCAATTGGGCAAGCTGTGGAGCTGTCTCACACACATTGAGTTTGTGTGCGTTTGGGCCCCAAACTTTTCATTATGACAGGTGCGAATGGGTTTACATTGTAGTGCAACACCTGATATGTGTAATTATTGGGGGATTGCTCATCTACAGTTTGCTAGGCTACTACAGTTTGCAGTATGGGTGTGCATTTACGAGTAGGGGAATCGGGAACCCGATAGAACAAAAGATATGGGCACCCGTTAAAGAAACCCACCCCCAAAATTTAAATCTTGGAAGTAGCTGTACATATTGTTCATTAAGGTCCATACGATAAAACTACCACATGGATGCATCAATAGGTCTCTCTCAAGTGACGTCACTTCCTACAGATTGCCACGTGCATCGGCATTTTGGACACCAGATTTTCGTGATGCTCATTGGCTGCACTGTATTTGGAAGAAATTCCGAGCAACACGCGTGCACGTTGAGAAGGTTGGGGAATGGATATGTCAAAACACAATTCTTTGGTTGAGGACTGTGTTTACCGTGACTGTTTATTCCACAACAATATTTTAATACACATTGATTGCTTGAACTGGTGAGACAAAGATTAAATTGAATGAACTGAAATAGACTAGAATAGAAATGGAACGGAAATGGAATTGAAACAGAATGAGGAACTGCCAGTGGAGCAGCACTTATATACTGGTGGAAACAGGAAGTCTTGGGAATAAGAAATACTTAAGAATGGGAAAACTTAGTCATATCGTGGTTTCCTTGATTCTCAGAAAAATGACTAGGAATAAGTAATATAGTTCCTTAAAACAATGATCTTGAAAGTAACTTGGTTGTACTAAGAAACTGACCAGTGACTTGTGCGTGTGGGCAGTGAAGGTCATTTGCTCTGTATAAAAGTATAGGGACTACACATTGCATAGGCACTGTGTGGGTGTATGTGTATACTAGGAAAACGATGAGTAATGCATTCAGGAGAATTAATCATTAAAAAATTCAAAAGGAACATTGATAATTAAAGTGTGATAATTAACTAAAAATTAAAGCGAATTGATAATTAAGAATTGATCATCTGAAAACGCTACAAGAACATTTTGCACACTGGGCACACATGCAGATGATGGCGTTGAATAAGTAGTTGTAATTTGTGAGATAAGAGAGGCTTGAAATCCTGGTCGGGCTTGGGGAAAAACCCGAATATAAGCTCTATACTTGGGTATTCTGGTATAAGAGATTCAGGGCATAATACCGATTCTGTTTCACAACTCGGTACATCACAGTTTGTTCTGTATTCAAGCAGAGGCTCTTACTAAGATTGACTTGATTTTGTCTTGACAGCTACACCTGCGCCCGGTGGCGGAGGCCTGTCCACAGAAGCCATCATTGCCATTGCCGTTGGGGCTGCTGTAGCACTGCTACTCATATTACTGATATCCTTGGCGGTGTGCTACCTGGCGACACGAGGCAGAGGCAGGCGAAGCGACTATTTGTACAGAGAGGATTACGAGGGTGACAGAGGCCCGAAACACCGCACCAACGGGTCGGTGTATGACGTACAGTTCCAACCAAGAGAGGTAAGTGTATAGAGGAATCCGAACAGGTTATCACAAACACCCCCTTCAGTGGCAAAAGCATTGTGCTAACTATTGTACAGATGATCTGTAGCGGGACAGTTGCTTTGCACAGTAATGTGCACAATGGTTTCTCCATTGGAGGGGGCCTCCCGAGTATGCGGTGATCACGTGCCTGGATTTGTCGGGGCGAGACTTGGGATTTGATTTCACATATCAACACGATCTATCTTAAAGTTAGTAGATACAGGGCGTCAGCAGGATTTTTTGGGGGGGGGGGGGGGCCAAAGCACTTTTTGCCCGAAATTCCTTGTACTTTCTCTAGCATATTCTCAATTTATCACTTTTTCGAGGGACATTTTCCCACCCCACCCCCATTGAGATCCCTGCAGATGCCCAAGTGTATTAAATTAAAAGCAAATATGACTTCAAACCCCTTTTTTTTTGGTCTCCTTTTTTTTGGATTACTTTTCCAAGCCCCCCTTGCCTTATCCTGGCGACGCCCATGGTGGCTGCTATATACACATTGTAACTTTCATGACAGCACAGAAGGAATCTTGCAAAAGAAAGTGTCTTATCACGTGACTATCAAAGAAGAAAGTTCAAATTTGATATTACTATATAAAACTATGGGTCTTGTGTTACAAGTGCAAACTCCTTGTTGATATCGTTTATATTTTTAAGTTGTGGCTAAATACATGTCGCCTTTTAATTTATCTTCCCCCCAGAATAATGGCTACAGGCCCTCAGCAGCATCGCAGTTCTCTGTTCCTTACATGGCATCCGGGAGAGAAGCTGGAATCCCGGTAAGTAGAGCAATTTACTGCAAACATCTTCAACATTTTGCACGGCGATGCGCGCGCATACCAGAAACCGGACACTTTTGGGGGGCCTAAGGGATTAAATGTGTGCTTCGTGGGTTTAAAACAGTGTGGGCGAGGGTAATTATCAGCATTCAGACTCCAACCAGTCTTAAACATAATGTTTAATACCGACCAAGCACATATTTATTCCCATTCATAAATACCTTTTCGGCCCAAAATTCGAAACAAGTCAAAAACTTTAAATTTTCAACTAATTCAATCAACAAAACACCCCTCTGGCTATACAATGGTAAGGCCCTCTGGTAAACAACTCCTTATATGGAGATTGACGCGCGCATGGTGCGTACTACGTGATGTGGCGAACAATGCAGCATGTGTAGTGTGAATTTAGGGCTATGAAATACTGACTCACTGGTAGTACTGCGCATGCCTACGTGAGGATTGTGGATGTTCAACCAATAAAACGGTGCTGGCACCGGATTTCATAGGAGTCCAAATCTCATGTGACACTGGAAAAGTGTTTAAGACCTGCCATCCATGTCTTTATCAGCCGTTTAAAACCAGCCACGTGACAAGCTCTTGGCCAATAGGAATGGGTTAACTGTCTGAGGTATTTGTGAATCATTTTAAGTCACCTATATTTATTACTATTATTTTTTTTTTTGTAATTTTTCTCCATTAAGCTTCACCGGCTGATAGACAGAGGGGATGCTGATTACTACTAGATGAGGTCAAAGGTCATGGTTGCTCAACGTTCCTGGTGACCCCTGACCTCTTCAAGAAATTTAATGTGCATAACTGTATATGAGGAAGAATATTTTAAAACTGCTATGCAAATGATTCTGTCATTGTTACGGCATGGACGATAATATATATATTTACTTTGAATGACTTAGGTGATTTTGAAACTAGCTAAGGCCTCTATATTTTAAATGCAAAAGTTGGTAGCCAGGTCTTTTTAAATTTGAAAGATTAATGGATCATAAGTTATGATCATTAGCAATAATAAGACAAACTATATTCAATTGAGATACCGGTACATAGTTTTAAGCAATATATATTTAACCTCATGTAACTTACTAGTACTAATTATGTCTATTCTAGAACAATAACTCTTTCTGAAGTAGAGCAGATTTATTCAATTTTAATCACTCTGTGCAAGGCTCAATGACTCGAAAACACCGATTTTATAAAAGATTATTGTACTATATCTATGCACATTATCCAGATATATGAATGCAATATTATATAGAATTTGTTTTGCGTTGTATGTTAACAGTACTTACAAAAAAAATATCTGATTAATTGGCGTAAAGTCATGTCCCTCATATCAAAACACAGATTGTGAGAATTTAGTGTCAATGTGCCAAACTTATACTGAAGGAGTACTTTCGATTGGAATGCTATATTTTGGGCTCTTAAACATCTTCCCCTGAAATGGTAATTGGATTAATGAACAATGAATAAGATATATGTAATTGCACACAACCATTCCATGAAAACATGTGATTTTCATGTATTTTTGCACTACAGAATGCTGGTACTGCGTGCAATGTAACAGCCCTAGTGTGATGGCTCTAATCACTTCTAAAATTTGTTCAGGCGAGGCCAACAACGTGTTTAAACAAAATTGTCAGACCTACATGTAAACGAACAAGGTTTTCAATATTTTCTCAATGAATGTGAGACATTATTTGGAATTCCTGTCTTTGTCCCTGACCTTTGAACAATCTAAAGCACTAAATTTTGGCGATCTTTAGATCAAAGGGCACCAATATCTCAAGCCAATAGAAGCCAATTTTTTTTTTGAAAAGAAATCCAGAACTTAAAAGGTGTAAATCTGGTAAAACGGGTTTTAAGTATAGTTAAATGCTTAATCATGTGTTGACAACTATGGTTGAATTTTGCAATAAAAATACACTGGGAACATATATCGTTCCATAAGGCGTTCCTTTGAAAATTTGGGAGCCAATGGTATAGCGCTGTTTGTTACGGCAATTATGTAGCAATTGAAGTATGAATATAATAATAACTGACACTGTCATTTCCCAAAATATTATTAACTAGTGCCAAGTGTACATTATGATTAAAAGTAAGTTTGATAGATAATGGTGACGTTGCTTCTTTTTATTCTATGATCATGTATATTTACCAGAGAAACAAGTGGTGATATGCTACAGACCATGGTCTTTTAAGATTTCGTCGCAAAGTATGGTGACGGGCTTTTCTCAAAATAAGGAACACATTATGGTGAAAAATGTAACGAAGTGAACAAATGAAATTCTTTTTTTTCTCTTCTCATTTTCGTCTCCCCCAACCATTATTTTTAAAAAGAGGTTTGTTAAAACCAAATTTCGCCGTATTTGTCATAGTGACTCCACTTTTCATTTATTAAGGCCGGGTTATTTTGACCATCTCTCAGCCGGGGGGGGGGGGGGGGGGGATTCCACCCCCCTTAAGATATCAGCCATCGAGTGACGAAAAATTTTGAAACTCGGTACATGCATAGAACAATTCACCATGAACACACCCAAGAAATTTCATGACTATATGCCAAAGGGTTTTGGAATTACGGCTAATTAATTATTCATATACGAATGGTAATTCTGCTCTGTGTACACGACGTATATGGGAAAATTCAGTTTTCACGGCAAGTAGTGCCGATTTTTTTTGTATCAAAAGATGCGCAAGGCTCGAGGCTAAAAAGCCATATCAGCTCGGGTCGCGCATTATTTTTTCAAGGCTATCGCGGAAAAAGTCGGGGGGGGGGGGGGGGGAAGCCCCCGGCCCTTTTAGGGTTAAAGCCGCAGTGACTTAACTATACACCTGTTTTTTATTTAAGACGTGCCTTGGAAAAGAAACGGTCAAAAATTTTTTTCATTTTTAAATATTTCCTCGCCCCAAAAACGGATGATTTTTGACTAAATCTGCTAAAATATCAATGTTTGAATATTGATTCATGCTCCACTCGTCTCCACAGCAATGTTTGCGTTGTTTTGAGAAAAGTCAATTTTTGGCCAAATTTTGATAAAAATGTAAGGCTAACCCCTTGTTTTTTTCAATTTTGGCCAAAAAATGAAATTCGTTGAAACTTGCTGGAAAGATGCCTAAGGTAACCCTGAACACATTCCATTTCGATTTGAGAACAGATGTGCCTTGGAAAAGAAAATGTGGTGGACAATTTCGGACAAAAACGGTCCGAATTCTTTTTTATTTTTAGGTATTTCCTCACCAAAGAAACCGATTATTTTTGCCTAAATCTGCTTAAACATAAATGTTTTAATATTGATTCATGCTCCACTCGTCTCCACAGCAATTTTTGCGTTATTTTGAGAAAAGTCAATTTTTGGCAAAATTTTGATAAAAATGTAAGGCTAACCGCTTGTTTTTTTTTTTTCAATTTTGGCCAAAAAATGAAATTCCTTGAAACTTGCTGGAAAGATTCCTAAGATAACCCTGAACACATTCCATTGCGATTTGGGAACAGATGTGCCTTGGAAAACAAAATTTGGTGGAAAATTTCGGACAAAAACGGTCAAAATTCTTTTTCATTTTTAGGAATTTGTTCACCAAAAAAAGGATGATTTTTAACTAAATCTGCTAAAATTTGAATTTTTGAATATTGATTCGAGCTCCACTCGTCTCCACAGCAATTTTTGCGTTGTTTTGAGAAAAGCCAATTTTTGGCCAAATTTTGATAAAAATGTAAGGCTAACCCCTTGTTTTTTTTTTCAATTTTGGCCAAAAAATGAAATTCGTTGAAACTTGCAAGAAAAATGCCTAAGGTTACCGTGAACACATTTCAATTCGATTTGGGAACAGATGTGCCTTGGAAAAGAAAATTTGGTGGAAAATTTCGGACAAAAACGGTCAAATTTCTTTTTCATTTTTAGGTATTTCCTCGCCCAAAAAAGGATGATTTTTGACTAAATCTGCTAAAATATCAATGTTTGAATATTGATTCATGCTCCACTCGTCTCCACAGCAATTTTGCGTTGTTTTGAGAAAAGTCAATTTTTGGCCAGATTTTGTAAAAAATGTAAGGCTAACCCCTTGTTTTTTTTCAATTTTGGCCAAAAAATGAAATTCGTTGAAACTTGCAGGAAAAATGCCTAAGGTTACCGTGAACAGGAAAACCGTGGAAAATGTGCCTTGGAAAAGAAAATTTGGTGGAAAATTTCGGACAAAAACGGTCAAAATTCTTTTTCATTTTTAGGTATTTCCTCGCCCAAAAAAGGATGATTTTTGACTAAATCTGCTAAAAATCAATGTTTGAATATTGATTCATGCTCCACTCGTCTCCACAGCAATTTTTGCGTTGTTTTGAGAAAAGTCAATTTTTGGCCAAATTTTGATAAAAATGTAAGGCTAACCCCTTGTTTTTTTTCAATTTTGGCCAACAAATGAAATTCGTTGAAACTTGCAGGAAAAATGCCTACGGTAACCGTGAACACATTTCAATTCGATTTGGGAACAGATGTGCCTTGGAAAAGAAAATTTGGTGGAAAATTTCGGACAAAAACGGTCAAAATTCTTTTTCATTTTTAGGTATTTGTGCACCAAAAAACGGATGATTTTTGACTAAATCTGCTAAAATATCAATGTTTTAATATTGATTCATGCTCCACTCGTCTCCACAGCAATTTTTGCGTTGTTTTGAGAAAAGTCAATTTTTGGCCAAAGTTTGATGAAAATGTAAGGCTAACCGCTTGGGTTTTTTTTTCAATTTTGGCCAAAAAATGAAATTCCTTGAAACTTGCAGGAAAGATTCCTAAGGTAACCCTGAACACATTCCATTGCGATTTGGGAACAGATGTGCCTTGGAAAAGAAAATTTGGTGGAAAATTTCGGACAAAAACGGTCAAATTTCTTTTTCATTTTTAGGTATTTCCTCGCCCAAAAAAGGATGATTTTTGACTAAATCTGCTAAAATATCAATGTTTGAATATTGATTCATGAACCACTCGTCTCCACAGCAATTTTTGCCTTGTTTTGAGAAAAGTCAAATTTTGGCCAAATTTTGATCAAAATGTAAGGCTAACCCCTTGTTTTTTTTTCAATTTTGGCCAAAAAATGAAATTCCTTGAAACTTGCAGGAAAAATGCCTAAGGTTACCGTGAACACATTTCAATTCGATTTGGGAACAGATGTGCCTTGGAAAAGAAAATTTGGTGGAAAATTTCGGACAAAAACGGTCAAAATTCTTTTTCATTTTTAGGTATTTCCTCGCCCAAAAAAGGATGATTTTTGACTAAATCTGCTAAAATATCAATGTTTGAATATTGATTCCTGCTCCACTCGTCTCCACAGCAATGTTTGCGTTGTTTTGAGAAAAGTCAATTTTTGGCCAAATTTTGATAAAAATGTAAGGCTAACCCCTTGTTTTTTTTCAATTTTGGCCAAAAAATGAAATTCGTTAAAACTTGCAGGAAAAATGCCTAAGGTTACCGTGAACAGGAAAACCGTGGAAAATGTGCCTTGGAAAAGAAAATTTGGTGGAAAATTTCGGACAAAAACGGTCAAAATTCTTTTTCATTTTAAGGTATTTCCTAGCCCAAAAAAGGATGATTTTTGACTAAATCTGCTAAAATATCAATGTTTGAATATTGATTCATGCTCCACTCGTCTCCACAGCAATTTTGCGTTGTTTTGAGAAAAGTCAATTTTTGGCCAAATTTTGTTAACAATGTAAGGCTAACCCCTTGTTTTTTTTTCAATTTTGGCCAAAAAATGAAATTCCTTGAAACTTGCAGGAAAAATGCCTAAGGTTACCGTGAACACATTTCAATTCGATTTGGGAACAGATGTGCCTTGGAAAAGAAAATTTGGTGGAAAATTTCGGACAAAAACGGTCAAAATTCTTTTTCATTTTTAAATATTTCCTCGCCCAAAAAACGGATGATTTTTGACTAAATCTGCTAAAATATCAATGTTTGAATATTGATTCATGCTCCACTCGTCTCCACAGCAATTTTTGCGTTGTTTTGAGAAAAGTCAATTTTTGGCCAAATTTTGATAAAAATGTAAGGCTAACCCCTTTTTTTTTTTCAATTTTGGCCAAAAAGTGAATTTCGTTGAAACTTGCAGGAAAAAGGCCTAAGGTAACCGTGAACACATTTCAATTCGATTTGGGAACAGATGTGCTTTGGAAAAGAAAATTTGGTGGAAAATTTCGGACAAAAACGGTCAAAATTCTTTTTCATTTTTAGGTATTTGTGCACCAAAAAACGGATGATTTTTGACTAAATCTGCTAAAATATCAATGTTTGAATATTGATTCCTGCTCCACTCGTCTCCACAGCAATGTTTGCGTTGTTTTGAGAAAAGTCAATTTTTGGCCAAATTTTGATAAAAATGTAAGGCTAACCCCTTGTTTTTTTTCAATTTTGGCCAAAAAATGAAATTCCTTGAAACTTGCTGGAAAGATCCCTAAGGTAACCCTGAACACATTCCATTGCGATTTGGGAACAGATGTGCCTTGGAAAAGAAAATTTGGTGGAAAATTTCGGACAAAAACGGTCAAAATTCTTTTTCATTGTTAGGTATTTCCTCGCCCAAAAAAGGATGATTTTTGACCAAATCTGCTAAAATATCAATGTTTGAATATTGATTCCTGCTCCACTCGTCTCATCAGCAATTTTTGCGTTGTTTTGAGAAAAGTCAATTTTTGGCCAAATTTTGATAAAAATGTAAGGCTAACCCCTTGTTTTTTTTCAATTTTGGCCAAAAAATGAAATTCGTTGAAACTTGCAGGAAAAATGCCTCAGGTTACCGTGAACAGGAAAACCGTGGAAAATGTGCCTTGGAAAAGAAAATTTGGTGGAAAATTTCGGACAAAAACGGTCAAAATTCTTTTTCATTTTTATGTATTTCCTAGCCCCAAAAAAGATGATTTTTGACTAAATCTGCTAAAATATCAATGTTTGAATATTGATTCATGCTCCACTCGTCTCCACAGCAATTTTGCGTTGTTTTGAGAAAAGTCAATTTTTGGCCAAATTTTGTTAAAAATGTAAGGCTAACCCCTTGGTTTTTTTTTTCAATTTTGGCCAAAAAATGAAATTCGTTGAAACTTGCAGGAAAAATGCCTAAGGTTACCGTGAACACAT